AACTGTTCACAATGCACTGCTTCCACCTGCAGTCTGTAAACTCAGCAGGCTCTCCCCGAACCCTTTTCAAGAACACAGCTTCTTCAAGTAAAACTCGGCACTGATGGCTCAAGCGCTTCTGGCTCAGTCCCTTGCCCTTCCTGCGAGTCCTCCGACCCGCTAGTGGATGAATCATCGCAGCTCTCAATCTTTGGGCGACACAACTTGCATACAGCATCAGCAATGCCCTCGGTCAGTTTCATGACCGGTATGGTCTCAAGGCAGTTCTCCCGTCTCACAGCACACCTCTTTGACAAGTGAAGACGGCGGAAACCCCGCCTGGAGACGGTGATGAAGTACGGAGCCTCATCAGTATCTTCCCCTCCTTCAAATGCCTCATAAGGCCCAGGCAACTCTGCATCAAGATCGCCTGCTGAAGCCCGGACCCGTTCAGGCCCCAACGGGATGCTGGGAAACGCGCCCCCTAGCTTGAAGGTCTCTTCACTTTCATCCCATTTCAAGACAGTGCACGCATTCAGGATTGCAACACTCTCAAGCCCCAGGCCCTCGGCAAAAGTCTTTATCGAGAAGAGAAGCTCTTCCTCGATGTAGCCTCCCTCCGGACTTCCGATCAGCAGGCTCTTGCAAACAAAGTTCTGCACTGCTTGCACCACCTGTCTCGAAGTCAGCACATAGTCCTGCGAACCATGCTGTGCGTAGGCCCATCGGCCTAGATAGTCCCGCCGATCCTTGCTTATGCCTAGTGCTGCTGCCAAGCTTGTCAGCACATGCCTCGCGCTGTGCCCTGACCAGTAATTTGCCATCTGACCTGGCAACAAGAGCTCTCTCGAAACTTTCCAGATTCCCTGCTGCCTGACAGGAGTGGGGAGATGCTGAAGGAAACGTCTGATCTGCAATGCCAGCCCTTCTGCCTCCATGTATTCCTTTGAAGCCCCGTCCCAGTCTTTCGTGAATGCAGGACAGAGAAAATCACGAGGCCATGCGAGCAGTTCAGCAGAGAGAAGCTTGTGCCCTTCCATAATCCAGTCAAACCCACTCAAGCAAGCAGCGCGAGAGACAAATCCATGAAGTTCCCCAACCTTGCGGCCCGGTCCACTCGTTTTAGTCTTATTCAAAACGAATCGCAGACCCACCTGGCTGAGCTTCACAGACGTAGGACTGATGTTTTGCACGTCATCAGCTCTCAGGCTGGCCCAGCACATCAACAGCAAGATGAAAGCCATGTATCGCAATCCCACCTCGTAGCTGGGCCGGCAAACCACCAGCTCGCAAGCTAGCAGCACCACCACGGGCAGCATTGGCGCTGGTTTGGCCGGTGGTGCACCAGTCTCAAGCTCAGCACTCCATGACCGAATCGTTTCAAGCAAGAGCTGGTCTTCACACAGCCGCCGCTCAGACGGAACCATTCCCACAACTTCAAGAAGAGAGATGCTCGCCAATATTGCCCGCGGCACTGTCTTCCCCATCGCCTTCACAGCATGTCGCTCCTCAAGATATTTCAGGATTTGTCCCACATCTGCCGGCCACGGTGCCCCAGCAGTCACCATTAGCCATTCTCTCACTGGCATCCAAGAACGCGCCCGATTCCGAAGTGTTTTGCCTCGCCGATTTCCAAAGATCCTCAACCACGTCGCCTTGCTGTCGCCCAGTGCTTCCAGGCGTTCTGAGCAAGGCAACTCTGCTTCCTTGATATACACTACGAGCTGCATCGCCCATCTTTCACGGATCTTCGTTTCCATCTCTTCCCGGCTCCCACTCGCCTTTGAAGTTCTCACAGCCCTCTTCAATTGCGACAACGCAACAGCTGGAGTCATTTGCACCTCGTCTTCAAACACCGCTGTGATGTCCCTCATCTTTCTTGGAACCTTCACCGGAAGCTCGCGGATGTGCTCCTGCAAAATGCGAACACTTGACGGCCCACGATGCAACCGCTTTTCCTTCCAGTTCCACAAGCTGCTTGCCAACTTGTTGATTTCTTCAGCTGGCTTCTTATCCCCAAGGAGCTCTTCCACTGTATTTGCTGCTTCACCCTCATCATCAAAAGCCCCATCAAAATGCACAATGCTCGAATAACTCTCACGGATAGCAGCAATCAATGCAGGATCAAGACCATGCAGCGCCGACCAATCGGCATGTCTCTTCATGCCGACTGCTGCTGAGCTCGCTGCCCATGCCTATCGAGCCGCAGGTCTACCCGCCCCCCACACACAAAATTTGTCCTCGTGCCAAAGTGGCAACGACATTCGTACAGTTGATCTGAGCTCAAGCAAAACGCAGTTAGTGCAGACAAGCAAGAGGAACTCATGGCATTGCAAACTACGAAATTACCAAAGTACTTTCCAAGCGGCGCGAAGCCTGACGCAAAGTTTTTCACTTTTCCCCCGGCCCACCCTCCCGGCTCAAACCACGAGACAATCCTTTTGGGGAACCCAAACGGTACGATTCTGTCTGTTATGGGGCGGCAGGCTTCCCTGCCTTTTGCTCTCGTTCGGAATAAAAGGAAGTCACAAGTGAAAAGAGCCATCTTCTTCTAAACTCACAGGTAACCCCAACCAACCGGCCCACGCTGCCGTGACGCAACATGCAGTCGACGCGCCGTCTGGCCCTTGTAGGATTATCAGGGGTGCACAATCGACATCCTGCCTCTACAACCTCGCACTCACTCAACACAAGCGGCCTTTTGGAACGATGGGACGATGTGCATCCGAATGTCCGAATGCCTAAGGCCTAAGCAGAAGCCTCCAGGCTCCAGGGATAGCAGTCCCACTCCACCCTCCTGCTTTCAGGCCGGGGGGTGGGAAAACGAAGTCAACTGGCTGCACAAGCTGTCGACACACAGCCCCACTCGAAACACACAAACACGATCGGACTGCTGGACAGATGTGCACACACACATCTGTATAGAAGACGTTCGCGCGAAACAGAGAGAGAGTCGCAAATAACCGGGCAACGACTCTTGCTCTGAGAGTCTAGCATGGAACCGCGGCGGGCACACGATAATTAAAGGCGAGCTGCTTCTGCTCGGGTATGTCACACTTCACCGAGACTTAACCTTGGACGCAACTCGAGCAAAAAGCTAACCGGCTAACGCAAGCAGAACTAAACATGCAATGGCAATTGAAATACGAACACCGAGACGACTTATGTGCTCCGCTTCGCTCCGCTCAGTTTAGCGACACTCAACAGTACTTCGTCGAGCCGTGCCATCCTCCCATGGCGCTGGGGCCCCCAAACAAGCGGTTTGGAGGGTCAGACAAAAGCTTCCCGATTTCAGCACGCACAAAGCTCGACCCGACACGACCGCGCCTCAGACCCACAGCTCCGCAAGGGTGGCACGTAGCATGCCACAGCAGCTTTTCCATCAGTTTTATTGCAACTGTCCCAGGCTCAATGCCAGCGCAATCAGAAGACTAATGACTAATGCACTGCCGCAAATGCACGCGGTCTCTTCATTTGTCCTCTCAGTCGCAAGACTGGTTAAGTTGGGGCAGCGCGGACGGAAAATGATCTGTCTCTCTGTTCTAAACTCACAGGCACACCCCGACCCGCCAGCCCACACTGCCGTGACACAACATGCAGTCGACGCGCCCTCTGACTCTTGTTTTTCTACGAGGGATGCGCAATCGAAATCCTAAGACTCTCGTTCCGAGAGTAGTCTAGCATGGAACCTCATCAAACTTCCCGGAGGCGAATGGGGCGGCGGCGGGCACAGGAGAAATGCAAGCTACTTCTGCCCGAAGCCTAACACACAACACCTCGGAGGCAACTCGAGCAGAAGGCTAGCAGAACTAAAGACGTAGGTGCGGCTGTGAAACGAACACCGAGACGACTTATGTGCTCCGCTCCGCTCTGCACAGTTTAGCGTATTCCGGCTCGGGGGATCCTTTTTCATTCACACGCTTTAGTCGAGTCGACTATTCAGGCGGGCGGGGCAAAACAAGAAGACACACCACACAAAGTGTTCAGCCACACAGGCAACCGCCAGAGCATTCTCTAGTACCTGCTGGCCTGGACATGCATCAACATGCATCATCATGCATCATGAACACGTGCTGCACGGCAATCACAACAGGGCGACACAACACGGCACGCAGCTGGCGACGCAAAACCACAAGCATGCACAGGCTTAGTAGGTTTTGCTTTCAGTCTGGATAGCGGGCAATAAAGCGACGTCAACAAGTTGAAGTAGGCATGTCTTCGGCAGGCACACAGTTAGCACTGGGCACAGGTTCTTACACACGCACGAAGTGGCTATCTCTCCTTTTCATCAGTCGGACATGCCTGTAATCCTTCGACCCGAGGCAGGAGAAACTCTTCCCGGGCGGGCCGGTGGGAAAGTCAAGAACACTATAGACCAAAGCATAGCGATGCTGCCAGCACCTGACATTTGTACACCACACAGAAGCACTGCTGGCATCAACTGCAACTGTACAGCACTGCATGTACATGTGAAAGACAGGTGTACAGCCAAACCCAGCCGAACCGCTACACCCGACCTGAGCACGGAATTTCTTATGGACAGCACCCTAGCCTGTCCAGCCCTAGTCGTAGCCTAGCCGCCCGTTTAAATCTTCAGCACACAGAAAGGCCCACCCAACCCCCCAACCCTCTACGAAGTCAGAGAAAGCAGCAATGACGAACCTAACGAACCTTCCCCTGCGGTCTCCTTCATTTTTGAGATGCGGTGGCAAAGTTCTTGGGTTTCAAAGCACCGGGCGATATTGCAACCGGTTATCGAGTCTAACCAGCAGTTACAACTGTGAGCACACAACGCTGCGAGCTGTCAAGCAGTCACACCAACAAGTTCATGCAGACATGCAGTCGCTCACACACATGACATGGTGCTATAGATCCCACTTTACTGCACGCACGCGTGCATCTCGCAGGACGCGAAAGATGCTCCGTCTGCAAACACAACTGCCACATACTGCCACCTTGGTGACTTTCGAAACTGCAACTAGACTGCAACTCTGCTTTCCAACGACACAATGCTTGGAACATCACACCTTGACCACCGGTAGCTCACCTGCATGGCTGCTTGGTGCACCTGCCGCTGAACCGTCACTGCTGTCCTCCAGCCCTTGTTCCACCTCCTCACTTTCCACCTCCTCCAAATCTGCAGTGTCTGCGCTCAATCCTGCACCATCATCTTGCCGCTCAGGCACAAGAGCACCTGAGCGCACTGGCTTGCGAAAACCACCGCGCGACGCCATCGAAGGCTGCCCACCCACACCATTGGAAAGGGAGGCAGCGGTTGCGCTGCCCCTAAGCAAGATCTCCTGCTCCTGTCCGAGAACACTTTGCCGAGTTCCAGCAGCGTTGTCATCATAGAGTCGCGGGTTCTCAGGGCCGTCCAAGCTGTTGTCACTGTAATCAGCAGGCGGACATTCTCGCGGAAAAGGATTTGCATCGTCGAAAGATTGGTACTGCCAACATGTTACTTGATGATAAGCGAGCAAAAGTAGCGGTAGGAAACCACACCTGCGGCGGAGCTCTCCATACGTTCCTGAAACCGACAGCACACAAATCGTTGTCAGTTGTTTGCCAACCGCGGCTACATTGCTACATGTCACTAGGGCACTATACAGCAGGTCATACAGCACGAGTACACCTAATCGCGCTTGCGCGGTCAAGCACGTCCGCGAACTAAGAAATCCACGCCTCTGCCCCACATCCCAGCTGGAGGGATCCTACCGTGCTGCCAAGAAACCCGAACAAGAAACCAACCAAGCCCCATGGACAAGACCAGCAAACCCAACCACAACCCACCCTTGCAGTGGACCCCCACTCTCTTCAACCGGTGGATCTTACGGAGCTTCAGTACTCTGAAACAATGAAGACATCAGCTCCGATGCTGATACATCGCTTCAGACACAGGGTGGGAGGGTGGGACAACAAGACTGCTGTCCGACAGCACTTGCAGGGACTCAAGCAAGCACACTCGATACAACACACTGGCACACGGACAACTGAAGCAAGCACACATGTCACGCAACGCCCAAGTGCAAACACGGGTTGCCTCTAGTGCCTGCAAGCACACAAGGCACTCTCGGATCCCACGTCGCGCCCAGCAAGTGTTCACGTGTTCACCTACCGCATCCCAACCGCCACTGAGCGCATGACCAAAAGAATGCAACAGTACACAGCGGCGGAACAGATACCTGCAAAAATCACGACCGTGGCGAGATGCTGGATAGCATTCTGCGACAATCCGGCAGCCAAGAAACCATGGAGCATACCCCAATGATGTCGTCCAGCCACAACCTGCCAAAAGATTCCACAAGCACAGAAGCGCCTCTGCTTCTGCCTTTGACCCGGGAAATGATTGCGCACCCTGGGCAAAGCACCAGCGGCAGGATGCACAACGGAAAGCCTCAGTTGCGGCAGCAACGAACAGCGACAACACCCAACGACAACTGATCGGACGCAATGTGTATATAAGTGTAAGGCAACGGCACATAGGCACCCGGCCGCCAACAGGCGAAAATTCTGCTCTGCTGAAAGGTGTCCTGAGCACAGCTGCAGTAAACATTATGTACTTTACAGCACCGCGGCTTTGACCCCTGCAAGTTGGTGTTATCTGTTGTTGCACACCTAAACGAAAACGCCACGTCTCAATCAAGCCTAGAGTGTACAGAAACAATTGCTATTTGCCAGCCAAGTGTCGTGCAGCGAGGAAATATCGAAGAGCACATCATGGACATGTAGCTGGAGAAGCAAGCCTCACGACAACATGGTTGTTCGGATAACAAACTCACACCGCAAAAAGACGGGCGGAAGCACGGGATCAAAACGCACCACTAGAAACCCCAACCCCCAACCCTCTACCAGGTCAGAGCAAGCAGCAACGAGGAACCTGACGAACCTTCAATCTTGGGTCTCGAAGCACCGGGTGATATTGCAGCCGTTTGTCGAGTCGACTCGAACCTAACCCCTACATTTTGCAGGGTGCGGCGGGCGGGAAAAGCAAAAAGTCCTTACTTTCACTTGCCCTATCGCCCAACCCACCGCCTGCTAACCGGCAGGTGCAGCTGTGAGCACACAACACTGCGAGCTGTGAAGCAATCACGCCAACAAGTTCACGCAGACACGCAGTCGCTCACACACGTGACATGGTGCTATAGATCCCACTTCACTGCACGCACGCGTGCATCTCGCGACACCCCGAACAGCAGTCGCTCGCGACCTTCCGAAACGCAATCTAACATACGCAACAAGCTGACACGGTTACACGGCAGTCGCAAGAAGCATGTCAGTTCGAGAACTAGGTTTCTGCGTGTGTTGTAGGGATCCTACCGTGCCGCTGAGAATCCTGAACAAGAACCCAACCCTCTACAATCTCGCACTCACTCAACACAAGCGGCCTTTTTGGAACGATGAGACGATGTCCGAATGCCTAAGCAGAAGCCTCCAGGCTCCAGGGATAGCAGTCCCACTCCACCCTCCTGCTTTCAGGCCGGGGGGTGGGAAAACGAAATCAACTGGCTGCACAAGCTGTCGACAGCAGCCCACCTCTAACCACACAAACACGATCGGACTGCTGTACAGCTGTGCACACAGAACTATATAGAAGACGTTCGCGCGAGATAGAGAGAGTCGCAGTCACGTGAAATAACTGCGCAACAAGCCCCCAAAACAAAACCAGCGAACCCAGCTGCCACCGAAAGCCCGAAGCATCTCTACCAACATCGACCCATTATGTTTACATGCTTTGCACAATCGCCCTCGGCGACTAAACAGCGCGAAGCCTAACCAGGCAAGCACACCAGCTAGTGCCAGCATCCCCACACTTCAAAATTTTCGCAGGAAGCTGCTATCTGCAGTAACCGGCTGCACGGCGAGCAATAGCACTCGCTGAACACACAAGCACAATATCTGCAAGCAAGAGCTGTGACCCAGCCGCGCGCAGACGCAAGCGACACGCGCAAGTCAAGTAAACTGCAACACAAAGGCGCTGGAAACTCGCGGGCCCAACTTCACGCCCTAAAGTGCACCCTGTAAACAGGAGCAGGACTAAGCACCAGCATTGCACATGCTGCCCGCTTTGACACACGCACGCACACGCCCCTTCCAAGTGCCCCCGCTCAAGAGCACGCAAGCACCAGGCTGCTCCCGACTCCAGAGAAAGATGATAAACAAGAAACAGTCATGCCCACATCAATCTGCAAGCGAATGTAATGTGCATAAGAGCTGCCCGTTGGACATGAGCACCAACCCTTTCCACTAAATATGATATGCCCTTGGCCCTTGGCCGCACCTTATACATGCCATCAGAAGTCTTACCGACTTTCGATGCATATGTGTTCGGGAACCTGGCAGAAACAGGAAACTCCTCAAGTGGCGCAGTTGGCGAAGATGAAAGCATTGGGATCTGACCCGCTGATCACACCATCGAGCCTCAAGCGAAGCTCCACCGCTTGCAGAAAACACCATGACACACTTCCGATCTGATCTACAGTCCGGATGGCATGTCACATGCCACTACGAAGCTCTACTTGCCGAATCGGCGGCAAGGACAGGAGCATTTTGTCCGGCGGTCTCTGAGTCTCCCGGTCTCCATTTATGCAGACCAGCGTCATGCTGTCGGTTACATCAGCCATTCTGGCAGGACGCAGGTCATGACTGATGCAGCCTAAACTGCATTGATTTCCAAGACGCACATAAAGTCTACCATTGGTATCGGGTACAGGACTGCGCCCATGCAGTTGTGCCCTTCCAAAGACACTGCATCTCGACTTGGGTCTTGCTTCACGCACAGTGTGCATCATAGCTACAAAGCATGGGCCAGGCCTGTTACCATTGGCATGCAGAATAACGGCTGCAAGATCCTCAGCCAGCAAGCATTCACCCTCTATGTGCGATAGAAGGCACATTGCTAGATGTTGCACAAGCCAACAAGAAACAGCAAGTATTGAAGCACATAGGCAGAGTTAGACTCAGAGGTTGTGTGCCTGGGCCCTGCTTGAAAAGCCTACAACTTTCCTAGCTGCTGGCCACAAACCTCAGAGCGGGCAGCCCTCGTCGACACGTGCGCCTAAAACGAAGCTATAACCAACACGTCCTGCGCGTGGACACGTATGCCTCAAACGAAGAGCGAGGCTGAACAGAACAGCTAGGAAGGCGGCTCATTAGTGATCATTAGTGGGCTGTTTAATTTTGCTCTTGTAAATTAGGAGGGATACGAGAGAAAGAGAGAGAGAGAGAGAGAGAGAGAGAGAGAGAGAGAGAGAGAGAGAGAGAGAGAGAGAGAGAGAGAGAGAGAGAGAGAGAGAGGGGAGAGAGAGAGAGAGAGAGAGAGAGAGGAGACGAGAGAGAGAGAGAGGAGAGAGAGGAGAGAGAGAGAGAGAGAGAGAGAGAGAGAGAGAGAGAGAGAGAGAGAGAGAGAGAGAGAGAGAGAGAGAGTGTGTGCGAGGGAGAGTGCAGTGCGAGAGAGAATGCGAGAGTGCGAGAGTGCGACAGAGTCTTGCAATGCAGTTAGGGTAGGCTTGTCTTATCACGGAGCGGTGCGACGGCAGTGGGGACCGGCAAAGGAAGCATAGCAGGCATGGCAAAGTAGCAGTGAGGATCGACATTCGGCACTGCACAGAAACACCAACAAACACGATTCAGTCTGCCGCATAGCTTCTTCGAAGCCACAGCATGCTAGACACAATCACGTATTAATATACATGCCCACAGCAGCTTCAGACAGGTCACCAGATTGGAGGCGGAATCTGTCACAGCCAACCAGCAACAGCAACGCACCCGACAATCACGCAACATCCGCAGCCACTGCGCACCATTGGCGGCACAAAATGAACCACAGCTGCTATTATCACCTTGGAAGCCAGCACTGACCCAGGTGTCTGCACAAGGGAAATGACATCGAAACAACCCAAACCTGCACCATACCAAGGCCCAGAGAAAGTCCTTGCTTTGCAAGCATGAGAGGGATCATTGAACTCGATGCTCCTGCCAAGCACGGATGCACCTCTCAATCTAGCGCAACACAACCTACTCAAGCCCTGCGCACTACATCTTTTTAAATTGCTGGGAATGTACTGCTCAAGTGCAGAAGTAAACACACACCACACCGCAAGAGGGGGACGGCAGTCCACTTCCCCTGGGTGGGCGGGTGCGAACTTATTGAAATGCAAGATCGGAACACTTCAGCAGCAGTTGACCACAAGGTCGACCCACGACCAACACTTCTCTAGAGCTCTGCTGCAACTGTACACGCAAAGGTATGTGCGCAGATAGAGAGGGTTTATGTCACAGTACGGGCCAGTGACAAAAAGCACCAAAACGCACCGTTGATATCAAACTTGAGTTGATTCAGTCACTACGCGAGGAGCAACTTAAACCTCAGCTGGAAACTGACCTTGTTAGTTAGTCCGTACGACAGTATGTCCGGCTACCTGAGTCATTCACGAGTCTTGGCCTCGCTCCGGGGCCCGACTCCCTTTCCAGCACCAACCCACCCGCTAAAAACCAAGGGCGACACAGAAAATGAAGTCAACGGGTCCCACCTGCACGCAGCAACACATTCAAGTTCTGTCATCACCCTGTGTGCATCGGAACGCGTTTGCTGGGACTGTATTGCTCATGCAAAGGAACACGCGTGGGCGGGGTCCGGGAACTTCAACCATTTCAAATCTGGCTGCTGCTGTCACAGCTATTCCGTGTCTGTGATCTCTTAATAGGACTTCATTGCCCAAATGTGGTGGCCTCATGTTATGTCGGCACACGCACGACTCACGGTACGAACGCACGCCAAGAACAGAGCACTGTCGACGCTGCACGCAGCACCAAAGGCTTCTAGCCGAGCCTGGCCCTGATGCTGCTTGGCCCAGTTTTGCCAACCTGCACTGCACAAACACGATCTACCGGGAAAGCTTGAGTTGGCTCTGACGCAAGCGCTGCACATCTTGGATAGATCAAAGCCGAAAGCCTGATCAAGAACACACCCTAGCCAGGTTGCCTCATAACTTGGTTCAGACATGGCAAATGGCAAAGAATCCGACACCTTCGATGAGCCACCTGCCGCACCGCACAATGCATTCACGCTTCCACCAAAGAATGGTAAGGACTGGTTTTGTACCCGGGAAAGGTGCAACGCCAGCAACCTGGTTTACAAGACATGAACTCCATCGCAGGAACGAACAGTCGAGCCATCCGTCCGCCTCCGTGCTAGCAGCGGCCAAGGTGCGCATATCTTGCAGCGAGACCGGATTCAAACGGGTTGTATCAGAGAGAGACAGACCGAGGGAGCTCGAGAGCGAGAGCGAGAGTGAGAGCGAGAGCGAGAGCGAGAGAGCGAGAGAGCGAGAGAGCGAGAGACCGAGAGACCGAGAGACCTAGAGACCTAGAGACCGAGAGACCGAGAGACCGAGAGACCGAGAGACCGAGAGACCGAGAGACCGAGAGACCGAGAGACCGAGAGACCGAGAGACCGAGAGACCGAGCGAGAGCGAGCGAGAAAGCGAGCGAGAGAGCGAGCGAGAGAGCGAAAGAGAGAGCGAGAGAGAGAGCGAGAGAGAGAGAGCGAGAGAGAGAGAGAGAGAGAGAGAGAGAGAGAGAGAGAGAGAGAGAGAGAGAGAGAGAGAGAGAGATGAGAAAGAGAGCGAGAGAGAGAGAGAGAGAGAGAGAGAGAGAGAGGAGAGAGAGAGAGAAAGCGAGAGAGAGAGAGAGAGAGAGAAGCGAGAGAGAGAGAGGAGGAGAGAGAGAGAGAGAGAGAGAGAGAGAGAGAGAGAGAGCGAGAGAGAGAGAGAGAGAGAGAGAGAGAGAGAGAGAGAGAGAGAGCGAGCGATTTCTGCCAACAGTCACACGCATGAAGCACATCGTCCACTGTGAAAGTTGAACTGTTCAATGAAGGTTAGCTAAACGTAAACGCACGCGCACCGCAGTGTGGTGCATTCGGCAGAAGAGAATACGCACTGTAGGCGCCAGAGCTCGTTTCTGGCACCTGGCAAAGAAGCGAATTTACCACGAGCGCAGGGCTTCAAGGACCGGCTGTCGCTACATGGCTGAACGCGAACCCGTGCCACCTCAGCCATGTTTCTGCGAAGAAAGCTTGCGTTGAACTGATCCTGGAAATGCGACCTGAAGCTACACAGCCACAAATCCTCCAACATGTCTCGCATCACAGTCTGAACAACAATGCACGCACAGTCTGCGTGCATCTCCTTGCACGCGCATCAACCATATCCAATGCATCAACATGCCACCTCCCCGTACACGAGCGGATGCTTCATGGCGAGCTTTCATCAGCTCGCGCACACGACTTTATTGCAACTGTCTCAGACTGAACGCCAGCTGCACTCAGAAGACTAATGCACTGCAGCAAATGCACGCGGTCTCTTCATTTTTCCTCTCAGTCGCAAGACTGGTTAAGTTGGGGCAGCGCGGACGGAAAATGATCTATCGGACCGCCCATGCTCGGCACACGGATTGTCCATTTCAGAATGAGGGAAGGTACACACCACCCCCCCCCCACCACTTCAAGGGCGGCGGGCGGGGCAAAACAAGAAGACACCAAGTGTTCAGCCACACAGGCAACCGCTAGAGCATTCTCTAACACCTGCTGGCCTGGACATGCATCAACACGCATCATCATGCATCAAGGACACGTGCTGCACGGCAATCACAACAGTGCGACACAACACGGCACGCAGCTGCCGACGCAAAACCAGAAGCACGCACAGGCTTAGTAGGTTTTGCTTTCAGTCAGGACAGCGGGCAATAAAGCGACGTCAACAAGTTGAAGTATGCGTCAGCACAATCACTTGCAAGCACACTTGCAGCGCTCCTCGCTTTTCAACCCTGAGATGGTGGAGATACGACGAGTCTCATGCAATTCCGAAAGCTGTACTTGAGACTCTCGACCTTCGAACGGCCAAAACAAGAAGAGATCCCTCCTCAAAGAATGCCAGGGCCACCCCCACATTTTGCAGACGGGAAAAGCAAAATGCTCACACAAGGCTTCGCGAGCAGGTAGCACGCAAACACTCCTGCACCTATGAGCCTTGCAGGCAGAGCCACATGCTTGCAGAGCAACAGCAAACATGTAACATGTCGGCAGGTGTTCAAGCACTTGCACAAGTACACACAAGTGCAAGACCAAGCATTAGCTACGCACATACTTCCCACTTAGATACACGCACGCGTGCACCTCGCGCAGGCCCTGTTACAAGGTCGCAACGAAGACCTCAACCCCCCTCTCACAACCAAGGTTTTCTGTGGGCATGGAGGGAGGGAGACGGAAAACTTGGAGCACACCTGACGTGAAGCAGGATCTCTTCTCATGCTCACAGCATTCGAGCAGCTGATTCTGGCTGCATATGCATCAAATGAATTTAGTACGCAACTCGTGATGATGAAAGTTTCCGCGCAACCACAAGCCACACGCAAAGGCAACGCAAGCCGTGACACTGCACACATCACAATGCACTGAAGATCTGCTAGCTGCTAGCCGCTTGCCAATCCCACTTTGATGCATGCTACGCATGCACCTCGCTTCTAACCAGGTTTGATCATGATGACCGTCAGCATTATGCATCATCATCATATCATCATCACATGGAAGGCTCTTTTCGGGGCTAGGAAAGCCTAATCTGCGTTTGGCTCGCAGGAAAGCCAGGTTTCCAACATGCCCACATCGAGTCAGAGTCCAGTCTCCTGGTCATATGCACCATCTGTTTACTTGACCCTGATCGAGCGATTCCTACGCACGCCAAGCCTTTTCTACAATTCGTTTACAGCCGATTACGGCCTGCTGTGCGTTGCAGCGCTTGTTATTAAATGCTCGGACTGCGCATCCAAGCAGGC